ATTATCATCATCATCATCATCAACATCATCATCATCATCATTATCATCATTATCATCATCGTTCTCATTCTCATCATCAAAATCATTATTATCCCTGTTTCTGACTTTCACCCACCACCACCATTGAAATATGGTGATCCTCAACATAATCGTCATCATGTTAGTAACTATCTTCAATTTATCATTATAATTATTCCCATCATCATTATCTCTGTTCGGATACACCTAATATTATATTGTAGCAGCAAATGAGTTGTATAGGCTTTTTTATATTGGTTTGTTTTATACCGGTATACATTGTTGAATTACTTTTCATATGAAATTAATTAACATATTAGCTAGGGTTTACATGATTAAAGGTCTTCGACTAAATAAAAAAAGGTTGTTCATTGAAACAATAAAATAATTTTACGTCGAAAATACTGTTATGTATTTTTCACCGAACTGAAATCATGAAAGCTTACGTAGGATATGTATTAAGGAAATATCGTCTCCAGGACTGTATGAGGTGAAATGTCAATATTGTTGCGAACACGGAAGTCGGTATATGTTATAGTGATGTGTATATACCGGTAATCGTTGAATTGGTATTGATAACGTTTTATTGTTCCGTGGCTCACATTTATCTTAGAATTAATAGATATTTATCATTCCTGATGATGACGTAATTAATGTCGAAATATTGAATCCCAACACGATGGCGTGTATTTCAATACTTGGAGTATGTATTATACATTCTTATAGATATTTATCCTATTGAGATCTAATAGTACAAGTAAGTGGTGGCGGTGTCCTGCGTCATGGTTTAATTTTAGGCTACTTGGTTGGTAGTTTTATATTGATGATACATGAGGGAAATACAGACATTTATAGTTTAAAATCAATAATGGTTAATGATTACTGGTTATACATTTTTATAGTATACGGACAATATAATTTTGCTATAGTTAGCAAATTTGGGAATAGACGTATTTACTGCGAATTTGAAGGAATGGATTTCTTATGAGAATAAAACCAGGAAGGCTTGGCATGCAGCCATATACTTTCAAATCATAAAAGTATTTTTTTTTTAATCATTGGGATGGTAACGAATTTATCTTTATGGAGGGAGAAATCACTATGGAGATAATATTCAAACTATTTTTTTAAATGGTATTCTCTATAACTAAAAGCCTGTACATAAATAGTTAGCAAATTTGGAAATAGACGTATTTACTGCCAATTTGAAGGAATGGATTTCTTATGAGAATAAAACCAGGAAGACTTGAAATGCAGCCATATACTTTCAAATCATAAAAGTATTTTTTTTTAAATAATTGGGATGGTAACGAATGTATCTTTATGGAGGGAGAAATCACTATGGAGATAATATTCAAACTATTTTTAAATGGTACCGGTATTCTCTATAACTAAAAGCCTGTAATAAATATAAAGAAAAATAATGTCTTTAGATACGGTACACTACATTAAAAAGTTAAATACAAAATTAGTACATTAAATTTGCTACTTGGTCTCCTTCCTATTAAAGACCACTTTTGGGACCGTTAAAGGGTTCAGATAAGCTGCAGTACACTAATATCTGTATTTAATATATGCATTGAAGACATAATGTAAGTACTACAATGTACGTATTAGAAATTGTGTATTGAAACGTTGTATATATCCTAGTAATCTATACTAAGGCATGTGATTAAGACTATCCTAATAATACAGGTGTGTGTATAGGCCTATATGTCTATATATATATATATATATATATATATATATATATATATATATATATATATATATATA